CTTGGCTAAATTAGAAAGAAGAATTTCCTCTAAGATTCATACTTTTAGGTTTAGCAAATCTACTAAGATCTTTTTGATACTACTATCTATTTTATAGTGGCTTTTTGCTTTTTCTGCCCTGGCAAAAGATTGCTAGCTGAATTGTCTGCAATTTCCTTTAATAATACTTAAGATTTTTATTATTTTTTTCTGTATCATAAGAAACAAAAAGGACAATTGGGAGAAATGTAGAATTCAAGTACAAATCCTTTCTATTGAGATTATCATATCCCAGGATTTGGGGGTATTTAGCAAGAATTAAAATTGTCACTATTGAGACAGCATAATTATCAAGGGTTCATATTCTAGTGCAGATAGCACAATGGAATTAAGGCAGTAAGTGTAACAAAAAGATAACAGAGAAGAAGCTAACATGACTTTGAAAATGGTTGAAAGTAAATTCATTTCAGTTGCTTCCAATTAATGAGTAAAGTGTTAGGAGTTATTTTTGCTGCTCCTGAACACTAGATAAGAATTAATTACAATGTTCCTGATAATTCGGAGAGTCCAAAAAGTTGAACGTAGGTTTGAATTATGAGCATTGTTCCAGGAGAAATCAAAGATTCCAACTTTGATTGCATGATGTCTTTTTCAGTATGGAGGGGAATTCCTGAGCCCCAAATACAACTTTAAATAGCATAGTGTCAAATGTATCTCAGGCCTTTAGTGACTTTTCCATGAAACTTGGAAAAATTGGAATAATGAATTATAGTTTGGAAAAACAACGATACAGAACAATATAGTTATCACATTTGAGTGGAAGAATTTAGAATTAGACAATTGAATGTATTTTTTTCCTATTGTATTTGTTGCTTGAAAACTTTGTATCTCATTAGTGAACATAGCTCAGTCCTGTATGTATTTACTCAGATGTCCCACAGAATTCAACATAATTGCTCCCAACATAATGTTACAGAATTGTAACAAGACGATTCAATTAATTGTGTGGTTTTGGGATTTATATTTTAATTCGAAAGTATCTTATATGAAAGTAAGCCTTACTGACCTAAACCATGCTGCTTACTAATGAGTATACTTGAGCTTGCAGCTTTATGTCTGTGCTTCATAAGCAATTATCCTGCTTATCTTCACAAAATTACAGCCAGCTTTTGGGGATAGGATTCATATTCGTCTTTGATTATCTTTCAGTGAATGAAGTTGAAGTTCTTGAAGTATTTATCCAAGGAATTAATAGAAGATGATGGGAGCTTTCCTATAGAAGAAAATGGTTAGCTGAAATTTTTAGAAAATTTCATTTAGCTTACCAATCTCAAATTAATTTACTGTCTAATTTAAAATAAAAGTAATTTTATTATTTTGGTTACAGGTTTTATTTGTAACAAACTAGAATGGGTTTTCTATGAAGCAAGAGGAAATGTGATCATTTACAAATCTTGAAAAACATTTCTCCACATATTTATACATAATGGTTTTACATGTATTAATACAACTCATTTTAAATGAAGTTGAACACAGATATGTTCTGACACGGATCAGATAAGTATTTATAAATTAATATGAGTCAAACATCTCTTACATTTCTATATGAAGCTAACATTTTAAATAATTATGTTGCATATATCTATGGTCTTTGTTACAATGTCATTGTGAAATATTCATTGAATAGGCAACTTAAAGTTATATTTAAAATGCCAAAAGTTTGAAATGTATCTTGTAAATAAAACTTGAATATTTTAGAATATATAAAAATTGTGTGCCTGTACATTTTCTAAGAACATCACTTCTTTTTCTGGTTTAAATGTACTTTGTAATAATGCCTGTTAATTTTACTAGATGCAAATAATCTTTGTTTTACAATATTTTGAATTTTTTAAAAAAATTGCTAGCCTCTTTAAGTTCTGATCTAAAGAGACATGAGAACAATGTGCACAGTGCACATTAGTAAAAAATAATAACTGACAATAATTATTTATATCTGATTTCTGAAATAGGTCTTGCAAAATAGAAGTATATGGAAGTTGAAGGTTCACCATTTTAAGTAGATAATATGACTGTGCAAAATGTTCTCTCATGGATCATTCTAGCTTTGGAACAGCCAATTTTGGAATTAGAACATTCTGTGCTGGAATGTTGGTATGCAACTTGCATAGATAAGCAAAAATGTTGAAGCTTAATGGGCTGGATCTTTAATAGCCATTTTGCAAGCAGATAGCACTGGGTAATGAAGAGATGCTCTACACTGGAGAAATGGAAAGAGGCAATCAATTTGTTTTGCAGCTCTCCATGGATCTCTTCTGCTACTTCAGAAACATACCCAACTTTCCATGACGTTTTTCAAGAAGCAAAGGCCAACTGCAGGAAAAGGAAGGACACAGGAAGAGCTCTGCCAAACCCTCTCTTTTCGTATGAATTGAACTCCCTACAGAAGAATTCTTAAACTGACGTAATGATTAGTTCACAAAAACAGGAAACCATGCTCCTGGGAATCACCTATTCATATTTACTTTTAAGAAAGCCTCACTAAATTTAACTGCTTGCTTGTAAGTAACTGTTAATAGGATTTTTCCAGCATATAGGAAAGTCTGTGTTTCTACTTCATTGTCAGATCTGCAAATATAATTCATTTTGGTTCATGAACAACCTCATATTGAAAAACAGAAGTCATTGTTCTAAATAATTGTAAGTTTTGTTCCTAATCACAATGAACTATGACAATTGATTGCAAGCAAAAAAACTTATTTTAAAGACATTACATGTTTCAAAATGAATCCAAATACAGTTAGTCCTTGACTTTACAACCAAAATTGGGACCAGAATTATAGTTGTTGAGTGAAACCATAATTTATTGAGACACTCATGACTGCTTTGCTCAATGGCCACAATCACAGCATTTCCAGTTGTGATCATTAAGCAATCTCCTATGTCGTTAAGTTTATGGAGTATAAGGTGCCTGCCAAGTTCAGTTCCCCCCTCCCCCCACGGCCAGAACAAAGCTCCATCAGGTTGCAGGAACAAAGCTGGTCAGGATCTGAGCTCTGTTTCTCCACTCCGCTGGACAAGTTCATCTCTCCATGCATAGAAGACAACTGCTCTGGTGGGCTGCAGGAATGGAGCTCTTTTTACAGGGTTGTGAAGCAGGAACAGAAGACAGCAGTGGTAACAGACATAGAGTGACAGCAACTTTAGGGAGAAGCGGTATGAGAAGCTGGAGAAATACCAGGCGGACGGAAAAACGATCCATAAAAATAACTTGTTAATTTTTCAGCAAAAAACATTGTATTTCAAAATCCACATATTTCTATGTAAAAGTTTGCATAAAATAGACTGGTAATACTTCTATTCATTTGTGAGATGCCATAGATTTGATTTCTCTACAAAAGTGGTTAATTAGAAATGTAATGACTTAATATTTTTCTATGTTTATGATATAATGTACAAAGAAAAGCAGAATTCAGTACAGTATACATGCAAAATACATGGGCATATTTATTTAACTCTATTCCTATATTACACCAAACACGCAGGAAGATGGAGAATAATTTATTTGCACATTTCTTGTGGACTTAAACAGTTTCCAAAGTGGCTGAATTTGTCTTCAGATATTTTAAAGTAAACTTCTATCTCTTGATGCTGGCTGGGGTAGCTGATAGGCTGTTGAAATTTAGAACACTTAGAAATGACTTGATTGCTCATGCTCACTAACAAAAGTTAGAAATACTGTATATATTTTATTAAGAATGTAAGGCCCCTTTAAGCTTTAAGATTAGTGGAAATTCCTAAACTTGCTATTGTGAGATATCTTAATCCTCTAAATCAGGGGTGTCAAACTTGCATCGTCATGGCAGCATCACGTGATGTAGCGTGACTTTTCCTCCCTTTGCTAAACCGGGGTGGGCATGGCCAGCACGTGACGCATTTGGCCCACGGGCCATGTGTTTGACACCCCTGCTCTAAATCCTAAATTTTTTTATGATTTGGGCTTTTGAAGATGTTTTGAATTTTGGGGCAAAATTATCAGAGACATAAACTGTAATAACTTACATATTAAGCAACCAACCAAACATGCAACTCAACTTTATGTATATTTTTATTCTGTGTTTCTATTCAGATACACAGTTGATTTTGGTGAGTGAATTAAGAATGTTTTTAAGCCTTTTTATTTAGTCTCCTGACTAAATGAAAAATGCTAAGTTGAGCACATCATGCCGTGTCAGCATAGTTCTGTTAATGACTGAACTATGATCACAGGGCATGATCTGCTCAATTTAGCACTTTGACAGAAAGTAAAAATGGACTCGCAAAATTAAATATGATTTAAAATGGACACTTAAGGGCTGTTATTGTTTAACAATAAGATTTTTTTAAAAAATTACTTGTAGGAATGATTTTGATTTTAAAGAGACAGGTTTCTGTTTTCATTTTACAGGGCAAACAACTGAAACTGGCATTTTTGGTTAACAACCACAGCAATAACAAGATTTTTTTAAAAATCCTCCTTCCACCCCAGCTATTTCTGATAATCAATGGAAGGCTTCACAATTTACTAACAAAGATCATTAGTAAAAGATACCAAGAGCCACACTTTTCATATCACCTTTTTTTCTCCCCTGTAGCTGCAGTTAAAATAATTCCAGGTAATAGACTGCAAATGTTAGAGAAGAAAGCATCAAAAGGATACAGAAATTTCAAGAACTCCTGACAAAACTTACAGGTTATTGATTGCTTTTTTGGGGGGCGGGGGGGGGGGGATTAATTAATTTATGAGGAAGCCCTGAACAATAAGATGTCGCAGTGCCTCAGAACAGCCAGTTCACAAGAGGCTTTTTAACTTAGCCTTGAAGAACCATCCTGCTCATTTCACCTTGGCTGCATCTGGTGCAGAAGATGACGAGAGATAATTAGGAGCAATTACTTTATTCTCCTGCCGAGAGCGTCTGCTATTACCTTTCCTCTTTTCCCTTTCCTGCTGTTGCTGCGGAATTCAGCCTAGCTGTGTATGCAGTGAGCGAAGACATGGGATATGTACTGATCCGTGAGCTCCTTCCTCCCCCTCCCAACACACACACACACACACACACACACTCCGAGAGCGGTGCATTTTGGAGGTAACTGGCCAGGAAGCATTTCAAGGCTGGCAGCGTCGTTCTGCGTGTGTAGCTGTCCAAGGTGCTACCACTCCTGGATGTCACTGCAAAACTCGCCCTTATAATTTGCTTCTTTGCTTTGCCCTTCTGCTCACTTCCTGCTTCTGACACACGACTTTGTGGTGTCTTATTACACTGTTCTCTTGGCAGGAAGGAACCATGGTGTTTGCTCCAGGTAAAGTATTCAACCTTTTTTCCCCCCCCTTCTCAAGATCGTTGTAGATGGGCCATATTTTATTCTCTGTAAGAACCAAAATGCTCACTGTAATCCTATTCTACCAAAATGCAGGCTTTTGGTTTTCAGGAAAGAAACACTGCAAACTACATCTAGAAGTGAATTTGCTTTGATTCAGATGAAATACAGAGCAATACTTGGATTGATGGAGTGTAGAATGAGGAAAAGGTTGAAAATGGGAAATACTATTTTATAGCAATTAATTTGGTTTCTCTCTTTCTTTCTCTCTCTCCCTCTTCTTGTATTTTGTTTGACAGACTGAGCAACAGAATATCCCTTACCCTCATTTTCATTTAATGTGTGTGAAGTTATAAGGTCATATTTCTGCAGAAAAGGGTCATGCTGTCTAGACATAAGCCCCTTTTCTGTCTGAACATTCTCTAAATCATATTAGAAGAGGATAAATGTTTATTTACAGCAACATCCTTAAGCAAATATTTTAGGTTGCAATCCTATACCTGCTTTTCCCTAGGACTACAATTAATTGGATTTAATAGTCACTTTTAAATGGAAACACACAAAAATCTATTTTGTTCTCTCTTTCTATACTTAGTCTTTGAATCATCATAGAAGGAGAGCTGTGTTAGTCTATGCTGCAAAAAAAATCAATTTGGTAGCACCTTTTTCAATTAACAAATGTTATTAAAAGAGATTAGCTTTTGTGAGCTGCAGCTTATACCTTTTTATAAAAGTCATTAGTTGGAAAAGGTGTTACCAGACTCCTTCTGAGTCCTTGAACTGCTAATTCTGAAGTGAGCTCATTAGCCTCAGGAGGAGTAGTAACAATAAGGTAAACTGCAAATAGGATAAGAAAAAAAAGTTATTTTAAATTAAAGATCAGCTCCCACATATGTTTACCAAGCCATGAGTCTGACTTAAAACAGCATACTTCAAATAAGTTTGCACAGGATGATAAACTTGCAACACAATTCTCTACTTGGCTTGCTAGAAATATCTTCTTAGTTTAATGGAGCTGTTGTCTAGATAAGTTAAGTTTACAACCTTAGTTTCATTCTCTTGTATTGTCAGGTTCCTTACTACGTTATTAACATGTATGCCACTATTAAGTATTTGATGAACAGCATTATATAAATAATATTGGGATTTGACTCAGGTTAATAGGAGATGGATATGGTTCCTCTAATTATTCAAATGTTGGAGAAAAAAAAGTATGTCTCCTAGCTTCAATAGTATTTTGACAGCAGATAAGAAGTTTGATCCAAAGATTGCTTTGGAATATCTGCTAGAAATGCAGTTTTAAATACATTTTGAGTATCTGAGCTTATGGTGGTGGTACAAAACCTCAAATATAATATTTACATAAAAGCTCCTATGAATTCTGTTCCTTAACTTGCTAGAGTCTACTTTCAATGAAATATCTTTCTTGTGCATGCTGTTTGTGATCCTTTATCTAGAAATGCAATAAAAGTAGATTAAGTAATATTTCCTCTTACACAAGCTAACTATTTTAATGTCAAGAGACAGAAATTTGTGTTTCAGTGGTACATGATATGGGAGAATGTAGTATTCTCTATTGAAAAATCAACAATTAAAATCCAGCCAGATGCTGATAATTCATTATTAAAGCACTGCATGATGCTGTATTATGATTTATTCCCTGAAATGCTATGGCAGCATTTACAGGCCCATTCTAATACTGTTTAAATGAAAGGAAGTTTGGATATAATAAGTTTCAATTCTCAGCCATTTTTTTCTCCTCCTGCTCCCAACAATGTCTCATTCTACCACAGAATTTAGCCAGCTTTCCATTGCTACTGATCTTGTTCATTCCTTGCAACAGTTTGTCCCTCTATTAAGATTTTGGGAACTTAGTTATACAAAACTATTGCTATCTTCCACTTATGTGTTTTCTGTATGTCAATTCTCGCTAGAAAATTAAGCCTTTGGAGCAAGAATTCTCAACTAACATTTTCAACGATAAATAAATAAATACATAGTCAAACAATTAGGGAAGATTCAATTGTAGTTTAGGTGATAACCATTATATAATAAGGATGTGATTAAAGAATTCATAATGGAATATTATAAAAGTCAATAGAATTTACTTTCAAGTGAGTTGAATTCCAACCGAGCCCAATCCAGTTTTTAAAGTGATAAATTCCAAAGTGGCACATACTAGACCCAAACGTTATGGGAAAGTTTATTTTATCAGAGGAATTGTTTATTTTCTATAGTAATCTAGAGTCATTCCATTTTTTTCTTACCTTCTATCTAGCAGAGCAGATGGTTCACATCATTGTTCACAACTGGCTTATTAAGGCAAACACATGAGATTAGAAAACTGCAGCAAGAGATTATAACCACTGTAAAGGGAACAAACAATGACCCCTTGATAATAAATGTGCCTTTTCCAACTGCCTTAGTAAGCAGGGTTTTCACTTCCATACTCTCAAGCTATTGTAAAATATTTGCTTAATGTAATCATTCTTGTTCAGGTTGTCTTTGCAGAAAGATCTTTAAACATGCATTCTTTTATTCCAACATCATTTCAGAATTACTTAATGAATAGAGAAGACTCCCTGAAATTAGACATCAGCTATGAATATTAGCCAGCATCATAAATCTTAACATGGGGATCACATAGACAGACAAGAATTATTTAAACAATGTTCAACCTCATTTGAATTAATGGAGTGTAAAACTGGATAAAATGAACAAAATTATATCACGCTTTTCAATCATAATATTACCTGTGTTTGTAATATTAGCTGTGAGCTGAATTACAGGTACTTTTTTCCCTTTGGTACTTGGTGACAAAATCAAATACAAATGTTCATACAAAATGTGTGTGTGTGGGTGGGGATGAAGTTGAATTCTTTTATTAGCACCAATTATGAGTTAGCAAGCATGTCAATTTAAGTTTACCCAAGAAATTGAATGATTTTGTTTGTATTCACTTCATTATCACGAATAGATAAATCTAGATTTTTTCATTAATTTTCTATTGCTTCTAAAATAATGTCAAAAGGGAAGAAAACCACAAAGATAAAACACATACATTTGACCTTTTTTTTAAAAAAAAAAATCACTTTGTATGTTTTTTTGTTGATAGACAAACCAATACATAAATTTGGCCAGAAAAAAAAATGATGAATTCTAATGGGAATTCATAACAGACAAATCAAGACATACAAATGTTTAGAGCAATTCAGTCCTTTAGCAAAGTTCACAAGCATCTGTGCAGGAGTAAGGCAAAGCATGTGGTGAAACGTGTCATAACATTAGAACACAAGCCTCTTAGCGTACACACTTGGATCTAACATCAGGACAGAAGAACAAACAGCCAGGTCTTGTGTCATGATGCTGCAATCATTTGTTTTTTCATCGCCCTGATTTGTAGTGGACACCCATATGTGAATTATTATAAGCAACTGTCCAATTCATTGTACAAATTTATCTTTAGTCAAAGAATAACAATACCAAGGAATAAAACCTGTAGAAGCAATGCAATTCAATGAGTAGTCTAAATAGTATAAAATCCTTTGCAGGACATAAGCAATCAATATTGCTAATAAAAGAATCCCATTTTTAGAAATTTAGATGAATCATAACAGCCCTTTCTGCACACTTAGTTGTTAATTATACCAAAATGCAATATAGCTTTCTTTGCAGGGCCTTTGCACACAACTACAGTATCTGTAACAGGAAATATATTTCCCAATTTTTCTTTTTTAAGCATTTAGAAATGGAGAATCAAAATAGAAAAACATACAGTAAATCTGTCAAAAACATTTTGGTTTATTTCTCAAGGGTCTATATTATCAATATTATGTGCATTTCGTTGTATGGATATACTGTGTATTTACGTACAATGACAATAAACTTTATATATATATATTAATCTGTTACTTCAGAAATGTATATACAGTACCTCCCCCCCGCTTCAAAATCAGATTTTATCAATATGGGTTATATTTAAAATACTATTTTGGGGTGGTAATTAGATTTGATAGAGAACTGCTCTGGAAAAAAAGGTCTGGGTTAATGTCCAGTCCTAAATATAAGTTCATTGAGTGCTCAAAGGCTACCACTGTTACAAACTCATTAAGCAGCTGAGCCTTCTAATCTAGATGGCTTCTGGAAACTGTCACCAGATAGGATGAGCTGTATCCTTTAAGCCCACTTTCCCCCCAAGTTTGGGAATGTTGGGGTAGGAATGAAAGGCCATGAGAGACGTTGGTCTCACTTCTTCCTTAAAACAATTCAGTCCTCAGAATAAGCCCTAAAGTCTTCCTACCAAAATTCACCATTCTGTTTGTTACATTTTGACAGTGCAATCTGGAAGTGGAGTGAAGTTGGGCTACTGGACAGTGGTGGGTTTCAAAAATTTTTATTATCGGTTCTGTGGGTGTGGCTTGGTGGGCGTGACATGGCTTAGTGGGCATGGCTTGTTGGGCATGGCCTAGTGGGCATTGCAGGGGAAGGATACTGTAAAATCTCTATTCCCTTCCCACTCCAGGGAAAGGTTACTGCAAAATCTCCATTTCCTCCCGATCAGCTGGGATTTAGGAGGCAGAGAATAGATGGGGGTGGGGCCAGTCAGAATTTTTACTACCGGTTCTCCGAACTACTCAATATTTCCACTACCGGTTCTACAGAACAGGTCCGAACCTGCTGAAACCCACCTCTGCTGCTGGATCACCTAAAAGCAGTTCCTCAAGACACCCAAGGACAAAATATTCAAATGATTCTTGGAAAATTGCAAAATACAATTGAAATGGGGTAATTAATAAACACATTCAAAATACAAAGTGCAGGCAGCAAGTCTTTAAGTAGAATTTGATTGGCATATTTCCATGCTGACTCAGGCTCTCAATTACTTTAGTCTCTTTGAGACAATAATGGAGAACAATATGAAAAAAAAATGGTAGTGAAACAGGGATTACAAGAGGTTGAAAAAAATGATACATCCCTAAATGACTATAAGAAAGAAAGAGGCTTTTGAAGAATCTGAAGACTCATCTCCTTTTCTTAAGCAGGATTTCATGGAAACAGTAGTAAATTCAAAGAAATAGAAAGGTGGCAGTGATAAAGTTGGAAGGAAAAAAGAGTAACCATAGCTCAAGTACTTTTATTGCATAAAGCTTTTTTGAACATACTATCCTGTTGAATTTGTAAGGAAAGTGATATGAAATACCCATGAAATAAGAGATGCCAAATAGTTGTGCTACTCAAACATCAGAACAAGGTTACATTTTCTTAGCATTTAGCAGTTAGGATTATATACTGCTTCATGGTGCTTTACAGCCCTGTCTAAGATGTTTATAGAGTCAGCATATTGCACCCAACAATCTGGGTCCTCATTTTACCGACTTTGGAAGTATGGGAGGCTGAATCGACCTTGAGCCGATCAGGATTGAACTACCAGTAGTGGGCAGAGTCAGTCTGCAATACTACATTCCAATCACTGTGCCACCATCGCTCCTTTCTGTTCTGGTCGTCTCTGTATAAAGTAAAGGAGGAAAAAAAATGAACAGCTACTTCCAGTTCAAGGAGAGTAGAATGAAAAAGCGGGCAGCTTAAATCTAAAAAAAGAGACTTCTCCTGAAAGACAAGAGAAGGTGAAGGGAATCTGTTTTAAACTGGATTGATGTAGAGAGTGAATGGTGAGCTGAGTGGTAAGATATGCTCTGAGCCACCAAACAACACAAAGAGTATTAAAAATGGAATAACTATGGCACAAATCAAAGATCCTTTTTACATATGTTCTTGTAATATAGCATTTGAGAACTTCATTTTAGATTTATAAGTTCCTATAAGAAAAGATATATGATGCTTTTCTTTGGTGTCTCATTGAACCAAAATGCTTTCGCAATCATGTGTGACTTTTCTCTAGGATTATAGCCTTCCTAGGTTTTGCTAAAAAAAATGAGAAAAAGGAGACCAAAACTCTTTAGGAACTCAGGAAAGTCTATATAATTAGAAATTCCTGGAACATGCTTGTCTCAGGACAGCCAATTTAAAGACAGCCAAGAGCATTTTTGATTAGCTTTGGGTCAACAAAGACAGATCATGTTCCCAAAAAAGCAGAATGATATTGGTGTGGGAAGCAAAATTGGTCTATGTTTAAATGGATGTGCCCTGAGAGGACCACAAAACTTGGAATATTGATAAAGTCAGTATTTTGTTTTATGTATATTTGCAAATACACTGTTATTTGTAAGAATACACAGACTAAATTAAGCTTTTTTGTTAATGTTTCCAGAAAGAATGTTTAATTATTTGTGTTGAAGTCAAGTTAGCAAAATTATTTTTTTTATCAATACATGTTGATCATCGTTCTGTCTTTCAAAGGAAAGCAAGCAGGTTTTTTAAAAAATCTTTAGCTGTTCTGGAACCAAGGGGAGAAAAAAAATCATCACACATTTTGGTAACGTTTATTATTTTTGTGCATATGCAATACAGTCTTACAGTATTACTGCTAAGAATATAGGAGTCCATATTTAATATATGTTTTCTTGCAGTGGGCCAGGACTTGTACTATGAGAGCATATCACAGGCCTCCAAAATGTTTCCCAACCTTGAAAACTAAGATATGTGGACTTCAAATCCCAGAATTTCCAAGACAGCAAGGATTTATTTATTATTTCCTGCTCTTATTATTTTTACAAATAACTCAAGACTGTGAACATATCCAATACACTTTCCTCCTCCTATTTTATCCAACAATCAATCTATTTTATCCAACAACAACAATCTTATGAGCTGAGTTGGGCTGAGAGAGACTGACTGGCCCAAGGTCACCCAGATGGCTTTCATGCCTTCAATTTATGGTCTCTTGCTTTCTAGTCTGGTGCCTTAACCACTAGACCAGTGGTTCTCAACCTTCCTAATGCCGTGACCCTTTAATACAGTTCCTCATGTTGTGGTGACCCCCCAACCATAAAATTATTCCTAAAACCATTGAAAATATGTATTTTCCGATGGTCTTAGGCGACCCCTGTGAAAGGGTCGTTCGACCCCCAAAGGGGTCCCGACCCACAGGTTGAGAACCACTGCACTAGACCAAACTGTTCGAGAAACACTAGTCTAGGGTATTCTAATAAAAGCTCTATATCCTGCCAGTACTAGCCATAACCAAGACATGCAGTTGCATTTCCAGATAAAAGATCACAAACAGCAGGCATGAGAAGGAAAACATTATTCTTGGTGAATGGCAGACAGCTGGACCAATAATCAATGACTGTATCTGTTTTCAGCCAATGAAGACTGTAGAGTTGCACTGAGCCCTCACTGATAACTTCAAGTAATATATATTGATATATTTATATATAATTTCCAGTTAAAGTAATTTTCTATTTTTCTGACAGGAGATAAATCTGGAACTGGACAGGAAGAAACAAAACTGCAGAATGCCAGCAAATTGATTGTGCATACGGCCATTCAGCAGGCAGTCCAGCAGTTTTCTCAGGAGAGCCGCCCAAAGGAAAAAGGCACAGACAACAATGTGAGCCTGCAGTTTGAAAGAGGACAATTAACCAAGAAGCACAAGAAGAAGTAAAAATCCACCACTGTTGCTCTTGGATCACCCAATTGGCAGCCCTTCCAGCTTCTTAGAATCAGCTTGTGTTGTCAGCACCACAGACAACCAACAAAGAGTATAATCAGCCACTAGTGATAGAAATAAGCAGTTGCAGTAGTCCTTCCTGAGAAATAGGGTTTTAAGGGCACTAACTAACATAGTTAACATTGATGCTGTACCTCTAACACTCATTATTCAACAACACAATGATGGCTGTAGTAGTGTCAACACAAAACCCTGCTAAATGAAAGTTCTGTTTTCAGGATGTCTTTAGACTGTATCTCTGTCTATGTCATCAGTATATACTCAACTGGAAGACAGCTGTATTTTTCCAGTTTCCCAAGAATCTATTCTATTGACACATTGAAGAGTGTGTTTGAAGTTGTGTCCCTGAAGCTCCAAACCATACATAGGCTTAAGGAAGGAAGGAAGGTAAAATCCAGAAGAGTTGCAATAAAAGAGGACAAATCTATTGGAGACCCTTCTATAAATGAACAAAGTAGGCTTAAATATGGTTCAGGCCACTGTTTTAGCTTTTTTCTTAGTTATTTGTTTAAATTCTACGTGGCTAATATGTATTTAAAAATGTCAATGAGCATTGGACGGAATCTAGAGAAAGTTCTGTATTACTATATTATCTTATGTATATCTCTTTAGAATAAGCTTCTTTTAATTCAGTGTGATTTATTCCCATGTAAGCACCCAAAGAATACTCAGGCATATGCCTTATTATCAATTATATTTGATAGTTTTGTCTCTGTTTACCTCTTATTGTTCTCCATTTGCATTATCTTCCATTTGTTTTTATTTACAAAGCTTATTACCATTAACTGCAATCAACTTGCCTTAAATCAATCTTCTCCATGATCCCTGGAAAATACCAATGAAAAACTGGTGAATGGATGGACTTTTCAGTTGTATTCAGTTGTATTCTTTGGTTACAAGAAAATAAAGAAAGGGAAAGATTTTTTTTTCTACTGCCCTTTACATACCTTTTACATACTAGCCTTTTAATCTACAAAAGTTTTCCAGGCGTTTGCATTTGTCCTTAAATGTGGCTTTTGTTGAAAATGTAGTCTATCTGTTAGCAGTTCTAACTTGTATGGAATAGCTTGAACTCATTGGGCATGCTTTGGGTAAAACTGGGTGTTAGTTGCCCTCATGGTATGTTAGCTAGACTGGCCATTACTGTCTCTTAGCAGAGAATGCTGCATATGACGTAGCTGTGACTAAGGCTAATGACCAAGTCTATAACTTCTTTCTGAAAGCAATTGTTTTAAAGTCATAATAATAATCCCGAGAATTTCATAATGAGATATAAAACATCAAGTATCCAAACTTCTAAACTACGCTTACAACAACAATATAAATTAAATGCTATCAAAAATATAAAATAGGTATAGATTAATAGATTACACTATTAATAGATTAATGATGTACTCATTACTTACTGGTTACAAGAAGGAATACAGGGGAAGTGAAAACAAGAGGGATTAAGAATAACAATGATGCAATCCATAAAGCTCACAAATAACTTCTTTTCAATGCATATGTGAAGAAATGCAGATATAAATAATCCATTTTGAACAGGAATTTCTTGCATATACAAAGGTTTAAAGGCTCACATCGCTAACTCCTAGCTGATCTTCCACAGTTCCAGTTCAGAAAATTAAATGATTTTGATAGGCATTTAACTATTTCACTTGACCTTATCTGTTTATTTGTATGACTGTTTCCTGTATAACATCCCTGATCTGAAAGGTCATGAAGATTTTTACTGTTATAATATTCTTCACTCTTGGCAAGCAAGCAAGACCAGTACCATTTTGCAAAAGATAAAAGATCCTCCACTTCTCATTGCTATTTTGCCCTTTCTGGGCATTCTGTTTCTCTGCTTAGGTAAGGAAATGGTAAGAGCACAGGTTGTCTAATAAATACTAGACTACAATCTTATTCACACTTATTTGGAAATAAATCTCCTCAGACTGAACAGAGGTCATAGCTAGTCCTCTAGACGTAAGAAATTCTCAGCCTATTCACTGGAGCTTTGTTTCTAATAAATTGGGGTAGGATTGTTGTCTGTTAAGCAAAGTATGCTTTAAAAATACTAAGAAATATCCATACAAAATTCCAATGGTTTGATTAAGGAAAATAATTCATTTATTTATGGCTTGTTATGTATATGTATGTGCATAACTGCATGTATGCCATATGTCTGTGCTGTCCGGCGAGAGGCAGGGAGGCAGGATAAACAGACAGAACCACTGTGCCCCCCAGTGTTGAATTTGATATTGATGTTTTTATGATTGGTATATGGAATAATTTAAAACCCTAATACTTTGAACTTTAAGTTCCCTAATTAGAAAAATATATTGTTAGGTGAGAATTACAGAAGCACTTTTCATCTTTTGCTTTTAGTGAATGTTAAAGGTACTATTCTAAAAATAATATTTTATTTGTACTGAAGTGTATAGGACTTATGGGATGTGGGAGTGTTTATTTTTGTGCATATAAAAATCTCACTGCAGTTATCACATACAGAAACAAAGCTCCATGAAAAATATTTTTCTACAATTATTTGTCTGTTAGCCCCAAAAGAAAGACCTCTGGTCTCAATTGTGCATTAGTCTTTAAAATCCTCTGAATCAGTGTATGTATTTAAATCCATCATTTTCTAGTTTTTTTTACAGATCAGCCAAGCATGATAAAATTTCCCTTCTTGTTGCTCATGTTTCCAACTGTATTTGAAGAGCCTTTATATATTCTAGATAATATCTCTAGTAATATGTAGTACATCATCTTGTAAAAATTCTCTTTAAGATTATAACATAATGTAAATTTCTGCCCTTTCATCCACATATATTCCCGTTGTTCCATCAGTATATAATAACCAACATTTTTAGCTGACTTTCACTTTTTTCTGCTTCAAATTTCAACAGATTTATACATTTTAGCAATTACATGTTCATCATTTATACATAATTGCATTTCAAATTCAGGCTTATTCAACTCACAAAGAAGAGGCAAGAAAAAAACACATTTTGGCTGAGATAAAGAGAAAAAGAATTTTAAAAAATTTCAAGAAAAGTATTTCTCAAAAATTAAGTTTTAACAATGACAGTTAAGTATAAATAAAATAAATAAAAATAAAAATAAAAATGAACTATATAAAGTAAAAACTATGAATCTACAAAAATCAGGGAAATAGTTGGCATATAAATTATAATTAAAAATATATTAAAACAAGAGAGAGAGAGAGAGACTGTATTGATGGATAGTGTGACCATGCAAAAAGCATTTCACCAATATTATTACAACTTGTATAAAGCAAGTGAATTCTCAATGGAGAAAATAATTGGATACCTAAAGAACAGAATTTACAGAAGATTACAGAGGAACAGAAACATTATCAATGGACCTATAACAATAAGGGGAGTTTCTAAAGCAATATAAAGATTAAATCAGAAAAGGTCCCTGGATCAGATGGATTAAAGGTTTTTATAAATATTTTGAAAATGAACTTTTACAACCTTTACAAAATATGATGCACTTTATCTGGGAGTTTGAGGGTACTGCACAGTATCTTAGCTGTTCCTAGCACTTCACTCTTCTAGACAGAGAATTCATTTCTGGGGTAAGTTGGAGCCATTTTTCCAGCTTAGGAGTCACAGCCCTAAGTGCTCCTATCATCACTGGGACTACTTTGGTCTTTACTGTACTTTCCATAACTTCTCTATAGTTCCTCTTTCAGGCTCTGGTACTTTTCCGGCTTCTCATATTTCTTTTTACTGATGTTGGTGTCACTTGGCACCACTACATCTAGCACCATGGCTGCTCCTTGTCTGATACCATGATATCTGGTTGATTATCCAATACCTGCCTGCCTGTCTGGATTTGGAAGTCCCACAGGATCTTAGCCCTGTTATTCTCCACAACCTTCTATGAAGTTTTCCATCTGGATTTGCAAGGATCTGGTCCATGCACCATGCGGATGTTTCTGTACACAATGCCAGCTGCTTAATTGTGCTGTTCATTTTATATTGTTCCTATCTTCATCCTACACACTGCCACTATTTCTGGACTATCTCTGAGGCCTCTCTACATAGTGAGCACTTCGGGTTCCATCTATTCTGATAAACTTTTGCTCCAATGGAACTGGTGCTTAGTCCCTCTTCTTGTACTGCTATAATCAGTGCCTCAGTGCTGTCTTTTAGTCTTGCCTATGGGTGTCCAATGTTTTGACTTGCCTTGTCTGCAATGACTGAAGAGGAATTGTTTTGGACCAACCATAAAATATATAATGCAGTTAATGTATATATAGTAAATCGCATAATAATGTTAAAAGTTTATGATCTTGTGGGTTACATTACTAGTCACATGTGGCCAATAGGAGACACCTGGTCTAGCCTTTTCCAGCCACTAGTAGAATTTCCAGAAGTCTTCCACTTCATCTATCTTTTGATGGTACATCCCTTGGAGGATCATGTCTTGCCATGGCATTTCTTGTTTTTGATCTTCTTTTCATATTTGCTGCTGCCTAGGCATTCTTTCAGCAGCTGACTTTTGGAAGCCATCTTACTGATATAGTCTTGAGTTTCTTCCAGGACAATGACTTTGACACTCACTAGATGTTGTCCACTCTCTTTCCAGCTGGTCTACAGTCTCTGGATGTTGGACTTGAGTTGAAAATCTGCATACATTGTGAGGAGTGTCCAAACCTTCAGATCAACAGCTTCCATTTCCTCCTTTGGCCAGCTCACTGTATAAGCAAGATATCCAATAGCTTGTAGGGCCTACATGTTGATGGCGTATCTTATTCTTTCCATTGAGTTGGCTCTTCAGGACCTGTTTTATCCTTTGGTAGTACTTGAATGTTGCTTTCTTCCTTTCCACTTGATTTTTCCATGTGACTGTGAGATACCTGTGAGATGTCGTATATCTGCTATGTGGCCCACTAGTTGTTTCACTCCATCAGTCTTAACTATCTTCCCTCTCTTTACAACCATCCAGACTCATCTCTGTAGTCTGAAGTATATCCCGATGTCCTCACTGTAGATCATTTCAGATGGATCAGCAAGTTGATATCTCATGTAATCTTAGCATATAGCTTGATGTCATCCATGTAGAGGTGGTGTTTGATGGTGATTCCATCTTGAACTTTTATCTATATACAGTCTAACTTGGGACTATCTGACTGAGAGGGTTCAAGCCTATGAGAAACAGTTGTGGGGACAGTGTTTCACCTTGGTACTGTATATGCTGCACATCACGGCCACTTTTGTGAGCTGCCTTAAGTTGACTTCCAGTGTTGTCTTCCACAGTTTGTTCAACCAGATCCTAAGTATTTGCTCATCCAGCTACTTAAAAGAGGCTTTACATCCTGATACTAAAATTATCATAGCATTGCATGCTAACCTATTTAAGGTTTTTTTTTTTTAAAAAATGTATTTATTCATCTTGGCTGCTCTTCTAAAGACTGTTAAAATGGGATCTAAAATGTATTCTGAGGATGAGGCTTCTACAGGCTTGGAATGTCACAATAGATGGCTCATTTCATATGCTAGATAATAAGCCTCAGGAAATGAGGGCATCTTCAAAAGAGATGTTCTTGCAGATCATAATTGCTGAACAGGTTTATAACAGGATGATGTTCCCTCAGGCTATAAGCTGTTTAGGCTTTAAAATTTAATGCTAACCCCTTAAATTGTGTCTACCAAACAACTGGCAACTAGTGCAAATTTTTTAGAATACCCATCAGATAATTTCATGCGTCACAATAGTTATCAATCTAGTGCTGCATTTTTTACCGAAGGTAAATTCACTGCAGCATTTTTCAACAATCAAGATGGGATGTAACTAAGGTATGGTAATCAAATTATCCATAATTAAGGTAAGATAATTCTGCTAATTCTGAGCAGCTCAGGAAGCTAATACTGTGAATCCATTTACAGTTGAATAGCAAGGAGA